CGGTGGGCAACAAAAGCAAAGGAGATGAAAAAGGCGTTGACTATGGAGAACACAAGACAACAGTACAGACTAATAAAAAAACTGGAATTAATGAGTGAAGTAAAAGTCATACTATTTCGAAAAAAACTACACTCTCATCTGCTCCCAGTTCAGACGTTTAGAACAATGGGCTGGCATTCAGCTACTCTAGAAACTACCCTCCATTCCGAGACAGTGTGAATGGAACCTTGAAGTAGGTCCCCCATCTCGAGCTGAAGTTCAAAAGGCTATAGATAATCTGAAATGACGAAGGGAAGCTGATCCAGATGGATTAGCCCCACAGGTATTTAAGGATGGTGGACTAGGTTTAGCGATTAGATTGTATAATATTTTAGCTAAAATCTGAAAGTTAGACGTAATCCCCTACTAACTGGTCACAGTCACTTATCGTCCGAATATATAAGAAAGGGTCTAAATCATCCTGTGACAGCCATAGAGGGATTAGTTTGACTAATATAGTACCTAAAATAGTAGCCTCGATAGTTATCGGACGCCTAACTAAGACTCGTGAACTGCAAACACGAGAGAATCAAGCTGGCTTCAAACCTGGTCGTAATTGCATAGATCACATATTCACCGTTCGCCAGGTTCTAGAACACAGGCATACTTATCGACGTCCGATAATGGTGGTCTTCCTTGACTTAAAAGCAGCATTTGACTCTGAAACGTCCTCGTCGACTGAATTCTCGGCTATCGATCTCCTACCAAGAGGTCCACTGATTGACTTAGTATATTCAGATGACATAGTCCTGTTTGGTGAAGACGCTGATAAAATGCAGTCTTTCGGTAACACTGAACAACAATGCCTGAATGTTTGGGATGGGCTTCTCTCCCTCTAAATGCAAGTTGATACTTCAGGACTGGTCTGCGTCAACACTTGAACTAAGGATAGGGAGTGCAGCAGTCGAACGTGTTGAAAACTTTCGGAAGTCTGATCAGCCCCTATGGGTTGGTGTCTGACGAAATCTCAGCACGGATTCGAAAAGCTCGTTTGGCCTTTGCCAACTTACGTCACCTATGACGAAGGCGAGATATCCGTCTATCAATTAATGGACGAGTATACTGCGCGGCAGTTCATTTCGTTCTAATATACGGCTGCGAAACATTGCCTTTAAGAGTATAAGATATTCGTAAGTTACTAGTGTTTGACCACAGATGCCTTAGAAATATTGCTCGCATTTGCTAGGATCACCGGGTAAGTAATAGTGAGGTTAGACGCAGGGTACTAGGGAATGATGGTAAATCAGTTGATGAGGTTATGAATCTTCATCGACTGAGATGGTTGGGCCACGTGTTGCGTATGCCTGAACACCGATTAACACGGCGCGCAATGCTAACCGGTGTTAGGGATGATGGAAAGAAAGTTAGGGGCGGCCAAACCAAAACGTGGCATCAGTGCTTGAAGTCACTAACTTTTGGTTTGAGCCATGTTGGTAGATGCAGACTATCTGGTTGGGGTCCGCGTGACTATCGTACCCAATGGTTGGAGACCCTTGAAGACATGGCTGAGAATCGATTACAATGGTGTCGGTGTATACACTCTTTGTCTTTCTTTAAATTAAGAGATTGAAATCACTTCAAATCTTTCATTCTAGGAACTAATTCATTCTTCCTGTACTATCTGCTTATAAGTAATCTTTCTTCTATATATTACCACCACTAAATTAACTACTTTTATGAATCTGGAGTTCATCTTGTTGTGCTAATGCGGAATGGCAACTTGGACTGATGTATATATGTGCCTGGTCCTACGTTGCAGTTGACTGGCTGAACATAGAAGAAAAACCCGTTGATAAGATTTGGATAATGGGTAACAGTGGAAAATGGTAATTAAAAGGTGATAATTAATCACACAACACATAATCTCATAATTTCTATAATATCCACAAAACACCCTTTTGATACTATTCAACATATGCTAACTAGAAACGGTCTACAAGAGGTATTTCCTGGCGTTCTAGTGAGAAGCACTGTTTAGTGGAGAAGATTATGATCGATGTGTCGCTCAGCTTCGTGGATTACTTGAAGTTAGACATTGACACCGTTGGATGCCAACTTAATGGTCTACGGGCTGAGGGTTCACACGCCAGACAGATAAGTTCTGGGTTTAAATCTCACGAGTGTGGTTGCAGACGCACACTGCTGAGTAGTCCCATAATAGGATCGAACGGTCGTCCAGTGCTTCCAGATTTTCCAAAGTGTTCTAGCTTCAATTGACTTATGATCCCAACTATTAAAATTCGACATATATTCATGAGTAAAAAGAGTATTACAATTTATTAATCACTGGGTGCCAATGTCATGTATGCCTAGTCCTTGTTATTAGTGCAGATCGAATGCTATCGATCATGTTGCAATGTGGCCACCAGTCTAGGTGACTCGACACCGTGGGCACTATTGTAAGATTAGATGGTGGTTTCTAACGAGTTTCAAGTAGCACGAAACCCGGGTCCAGGGTCTCCTGTGGGCTACCTTCATCCACCATCTAATCTGACATGTGTATTATCTACCGAGATGATAACTCAGAGAATATGACATCATCGAAAGCATTCACTAGCATACAAATCTTCACTTTAATGTAAAATTCATGTTTTTGATTGAGATCATGAGTCAATTGAAGCTGGACCACCGTGGAAAACCTGGAAGCACTGGACGGCCGTTTTGTAAAATTTATGCCTAACATTACTACTTCAAATGAATATTCATTTCTTCCTTCCATAAATATCCTTATATAGATGATGATACATTTTCTTAGAAACTGTTTAACGTTGGAATGTTATTAGCACTATAAGACGATTACTATTGAATCAGAACATTTACCTTCCTTTGATAAGTGACAATTGAATAACTTAGAACAAAAATCTTTATTCATTTATATTGCTGTCTTTAACTAAGATTTACTTAATTAATTACTGTAGCCATAGTACTTTGATACGTCCATATGGTTATCCGCGTTATATGCTGATCGTGAGGTTTGTGGTTTATCAACCCATTCTCATATAACTTCAGAAGCTCTCCAAATATTCACCATAGATTATCTACGTTGATGATCATTAGAAGAAGAACAGTCAATTATAATACAAAAGTAGAAATTCAACAACCACCATCATGTTTGCTGTTATACAGCAAATCAATAGTAATCACAATCAAAGAAGTCCGAATTAGAAAAGTTTTGAGGAAGAGCTTCCCGTATTTCTGCTTTGATGAATTGTATGTCCTGTGATTCACTACTAGCCACTATCCATTTATGCTTAAAGAGCTTGTGATCTAAGGTTATATCGATGCAAATCTTATAGGATGCACATATGACGACAAGAGACTGACCAATTTCAGTCTTAATACAATAATCGGAAGACACAAGTAAAGCAACATCAACTGGATTTAAACTTAACCTCATTGCACAAGTAAGCAACTATCAGTACTCATAAGTTAAGTGGATAACGCGATGGTGTTTGAAAAGAAAGGTACCGGATTCGAGTATCAGAGTGAATATCAACTCTGAGATTCAAGTACATGCAGTTGACGAGCCGGAAATAGGATGAAACACGCGTCGAACTAGATTCCACTACTAACCACTACCCATCATTGCTTATATCAAGGTAATCCGCACAGAATGCATATTTGCCCAAAACATACTCACCAGTTGCAGTCTTAAACAACACTAAGTGACCAATATATTTTTTTATTAATCAAACTGTCGTTCAATCCAAAGAATCGGTTTGATTTTATCAAAGATCAAATACAATGTCCTTTGTATTCATTCATGTCTGAATAAACAGTTAGTTAAGCAAAAACGTCACGAGTAGTATATTTTGTATCATTCAAGTGTTTTAGTGAAGTTAATATAAACAACATTTTGCATCAGATACATTATATTATACATTGAAGTTTTACTAAACACAGGTAAGTTTTTATTAAGATTATGAATCGATTCATGTTAGACAATTATTTAAATTCTGATAGCACTGGAAGACCGTTCCATCCTACTACTATGTGAGTTCCGCATTTGGGAGTCCAACCCAAGATATTCAGTGTCAAGATTATTTCTCATATTGCTCATTGTCGTTATAACGTCTGTTGTGAATCGATATTTGATTCAAAACCAATTCTGATAAATTGAATTGCAACAATAAAGCACTTTGTAATATGTATTCAGGATATCAATAGATTTTATTATAAAAATAACACTGGTTTGCATACACGTTACATTTAGATATTTAATAGTTGTATTCGTGGGCCAGTTGAAGCTAGACCATCATGGAAATCCTAAAACACTTGAAGGCTATTTTGATCCAGTATGAGACCCTACAACTGTGTGCACCCAAGTACCTACCTTGCGAGATCTGAACCCGGGACCTATCGCTCTCGCGGGCGAACCTTTTTCCAGTAGACCAACAGTGTTAATGTCTAAATTCAACTAATTCACGAAATTGAGTGACATATCCAACATTGTCTACATCAGTTACTACCTCACAACAGACCTAGGTTGAACTCCACTAGTCACTGCTTCTCGCTAGAACTCAAGGGAATGCCTATTCGAAACAATCACTGGTGAGCATATCGTGATCATGATTCAAATAGGGTTTTGTGGATATTACAGTAATTTGACACTTAAATTCATGAGTCCATTTAAGCTAAACCATCATTTCGGGAGTCTCAAACTAGGACGAATCAGCTGTCTAATATTTCCAGATGTCAAATATTCGTCTAACTTAGACTGAATCATGAATTTCTCTGTATTAAATTCTACAATTTCGTCTGTGTTATATTTCCATTCTAGATGTTCTTTATAAACATGTCGGGAATCGTCCAAATTCTTCCACGCATATACATTATAGGAAGTAAACTTTCTAATATGTCGACACATACAAAAATAGTAAACTGTGGATTTGTATTAATGCTACTTGCAATGACATGTTTTTATAATCCTTTCCATTCAACTACTGATTACACTATTCATCATGACAATTTTCATGTTGCCGTAAGTTAATGAATCAATAACAACATTAATTCTGTTTCAGTTATGTTATACGACTTCTGCAAAGCACAATGGTACAATCAATTATTACTGGTGTATTAGTGTACGTTATTTCTAAATTATTTATAATCTTTATAGTTGAGATCAAGACTCAATTCAAGCTAGAATTCAAGGGATATTTCCTGGAGTTCTAGTTAGCAGCAGTGACCAGTGGAGTTTAATCAGGTTTGTTGTGAGATGGTATCACACTGAAGATGATGGTGGTGCTGAATTTTGTGAATTACTTGAAGTTGGATATTAACGCCATTGGATGCTGGCCCAGTGGTCTAAGGGTTAAGCATTCATGCGCGAAAAAGTTTGGCCTCGCGTCCGGTTTTGGAGAAGCGTGATCGTAGTTGACTTCCATATTAGAATAAAACGGTCGTCTCGTGCTTCTAGGTTTTCCATGGTGGTTCAGGTTCAATTAACACATAATCTCAATTATTGAAATTGCTATAATGTTAACAAAATCCTCTTCTCATATTTATAATCTGTTATTTAATAATTTATACTAAATTTCAACCAATGAAATCACTCGATTGAGAGAAGAAAATTTTATGTACGAACTAATCACAAAACGAATGTGAAAATTCGGCGCGAAATCCTTTCAACCATTTGACGTAATTGCATTTTATGATGAAAACTTTAAATATGTTTTCTAATCTTAACCATCAACTCTGAATCCTCATCCTTATTCTTCAAAGTGATTCATAACGGTTATATATTTCCAATAAGTAGGTAGACACTTTCAACGTCACTTTGACGTCACTCAAATGTCGTACATAAATTATAGTATCACCATTTTTCTTTAAGACCATGTATTTTACATATTTGTTCTTGCTGTAAATATCCTATTAAAAAGACAAACACACGTATGAACATTACATCAGTAGACTGTCCATAAGAGCATGTGAGTGAGTTGATGGATCACTTCAACGTTTGGATTACATTAATCATTGGCCAAATTTGTTTTCAATAGATTATTGTTTCAAATGTATCGTTGATGAGATTAAGTTAAACACTAGACGGTAAGAAAAAGCAATTAATGAACTTATGTTTATATATGACATTTTTTGAATGACTTCATTTCATCTGTGGTAAATATGCTGACTGAACGCTTGAATTGATTTCCTTAGCTCTTTAAGTAAGTCACAGGCTAACTATACACGACACAACTTGAACATGGGATAAAAGACGAAAAATAATAAATATAAAGCTTTAGTCCAAGGTTAATGTCAGTGAAAAACATCAACATCAGATAACAATGGACTTATGAAAATTTTCGGAACTCTACTAAACATGGAATGGGGATGAATAATAACCCAATCAGAAAGAATAAATGTGATTCCATATTTTAGATGTCTGAAAAACGTCTGTGCAAACCTGATGAGATGAAACGTTTCCCAGAGTTTTTCCAGAGAATAATTATGTGATGGGAAAAAAATTGAAGTATTAGTTTACACATTGGTTTTCTTTGCATTCCTGAAATTTACATGATCACGCACGTTCCAACATACTAATGATGAACAATCATGAATTATGAAATAATTAATTTAATGGTTGACTTCATGCATCAATTGATGCCAGTTCACCATGAAAACCCTGGACGGCCGTTTCGTTCTGGTATTGGAATTCTAAGCAGTGCGACCCCATGATATCGCTCTCAGGATTCGAACTCAGAAACTATCGGACTCCCGCATGCATAATTAACCCCTGAACTGGCATCTAACAATGGTGCTGTCTAAATTCAACCAACCAAATAATTCATGAATCAATATACCTATCTGACTATCGTCATTTCATCCATGATTGTTGCTTTTTCTGTGTGTTAGGATGTTCAAATCTTATCATATTCATTTGTAGATTAATAACTAAATCATCCACTGTTTTTATATATACATTTTTTCTCTACTTTATAGCATCATTGCAGTTGCGACAGCATTATTGATTGCATTTGTGAAGAGAATAAATGAAACATTCCCATTGAATGTTATTACTTTGTTTATTTATGTAAGAATATTGAATTTCATTGATGAGGCAACATGACTGTTTAGTGTATTAAGCAAGTTTATATTGTTTACATTTACTTGATGGATTATATAATGAGCTTTTGTCAATGATTGATTAATACAGTAAGACAGATCAAATGTTTCGTTGTTGATTAGCACTGTCATACAAATATTAAAGATTTCCTGTGCATAGATCAATGTATTTAACAGTAACCATCTCACTGAACTTTGATAGATGCCTGTTACTTTGTTACTGTATGAACATCCTGGTTAGATTGTTTGATAGATTTTTTGTTTGACAAAACATTCAATCACATACCACATTTATGAAAACCTATGAGTCATTGGGTCATTCATTTTTCTTTTGTTACTTATTCACTTATCAACCGTGACTGATTCTATGTGAATGTGTGTGTTTGCACTTCGTATTCTACTCATCAAATGTCTATAACTTGTTTCTTATCTGGCTATAAATACTGATTGACGCTTGAATAAATGCAGTTAATTCCTACTCCATCTTCATTGCTCGTCGTTTTCCCTTCACTCTCTTCTATTCGCTCACCTTGCTTCGTCCTTCTGAAAACCTGTACAAATAATGAAGTGTAATATGATAATTAAAAGTATGAACTAATATTCCCAGAAATAACATAATTGAATCAAGAACTACTAGATAAGCATCAACGAATGTAATGTATTTAGAATTCGAAATCAGGCATTCAACAAGTAAAAAGCAATCATTAGTTCATTCAAACACCACATGTACTAGAGGCAAGTATTCCATCATCAGTTCACTTAATTCCGTCATCCGCTAACACCGACTAAGTCGATAAATATAGTCAGGATATATATAAAGAATATACATAATATAAAGAATAGTTAGGATATATGTTTCGACAACAATCCAAATCGACCAAGCCATGAATTGTTAAAAATATTATATGATCAAACGTTTCATTTCAGTTCTGTTTAGAATGCGCATTGTCCATTTCATATTTTCAGACGATAACTATATCTACAGATCTTGAAACTCTGGATATACTGGTGTATAAATATACTAATCTTCGTGCTTTCGGAATTAGTCTAATATTGTTTACATCGGCATTACTTATTGGTGATCATTTCTTTAAATACAGTTCTGTTTAAAAGTGTGCATTGTTCATTTCATATTTTAATATTTTCAGACAATGACATTAGCTACAGCTATCGAAATTCTGGATATATTAGTTGGTATGTTTACTAAACTTGGTGCTTTTGGAATTAGTCTAATATTGTTTACATCGGCATTATTTATTGGTGCAGCTATCAAAACAAGATTGGCAGATTATTTAACGGCTATTCTAATAATGTTTATAATCGCTGCTATTTTGATTGCTGGGGCAAGTATTTTAATCTCAATTTTTAAACACTCGGTATGTCAATACTCATAACTAATTCACTTGCAAATTAAGTCAATTCATTTTGCAGTATCCTCTGTAAGATAATCAAGCGTAGTTTAATATGTTTTCATAATAAATACAAAGCGGTGAGATACTGTTTAGTAGCTAGACACTTAACTGATGAATGCCAAAAAGCACGAAATCCGAGTTCAGGGTTTACGGCTGACTATCTGCAACCATCATTTTATCTCAACATAACGCATTCAATATCGAGTCCCCGTAGTCTGGAGGTCACATTGCAACTTGGTTAATAGTATGAGATCTGCACTAAGAGGGACCGGATAAACATGACAGTGATCACAATCAAGTAATTAGTCAAGTGTGAAGTAATTTAGTGAATATCACAGTAGTTATTATTTCACCTTGTAGATCTTTGTGTAAAACCAGATGATATCATGCTGTTTTATATTCATTTATAAAATGAACTTATTTTTGTCATCAGGCTTGAAACTTAGTCAATGAAAGATGGGCAGAATATATGAATTAGGAATATCATTTATTTTGAATATGAAGTTTTGCAGATTGTTAAATTTTATAAGGATAACTATTTAAAATTCGTTTCGTCCTAATACCAGAGGATTCAGCGGTGCATATCAACAAGTCTTCATCCGACAGTTGAATCCAGAACATTCGATATGTCACCCGAACCCTCTATATTTTGACTTCAGTGTTCCAGAGGTTCAATACACGTGATCTCAGTAACATCGGGTAGGTCATTTAATACAGTCACGTTTAGATATTATCCCATTTCTATAAAACATTGATTGGTCAAGTACGAACACATCAATATTTTTAATTCATTTTCAGTCAACAGAGATCGTATTCTACATACTTGCAGATATATCATTATTTGTCGTGAGTTAAAGTCACATATATTTTTTTATTTAAAGTGAATTTACAGTGGTTGGCCCTATTAACTTTCTCCAGCCTTCGGACTGACCGATTTACTCATTCTTTTTCAATCACATTTCGGACATTGATAATGAATCACTACACCTTGCCTTTCTTTGTCTTACTTTCGTTCGCCTTGTATAGACTTTTGCCTCGTTTTGCTTTACCTCAATTCGATTTGACCATCTACTGTGAAAACCCAGGGGAATTGCCTTCTGAACCCCAAATCTAGTGTTAAGGTTTTCTGCCCAAACGTCGCAATTTTAGTTTTATTGGCAGCTTCGAGTGTGACTGGGGATGTTTTTCGCCCCAGCTCAGTTTTGTTTTGAGGTATGATACTGAGAGCAGCGCCCGTATCTACCAAAAAGCACAAGCCGGAGTTTCTGTCTCTAACATAAAACAAGCGACTATTTATGCGCCCCTCCTCAGTCGTCGCGACCTGAGGAGGGGTTACTCGAATAAGTGAAACATTCCCATTGAATGTTATTACCTTGTTTATTTATGTAAGAATATTGAATTTCGTTGATGAGGTTAATTGTAATATAAATAGGCAACATTAATGTTCAATGCATTAATCAAGTTTATATTTTTACAGTAACTTGACGGATAATTTAATGAGCTTTTGTTAGTGATTGATTTATACAGTAAGACAGATTAAATGTTTCGCTGTTATTCAGTTCTGTGATATCTACATTAAATACATTCTGTGCAAAGATCAAAGATAAAAGACCACATTGAATCACGTTTTGACCTTGTTAATTATTCACTTATCAACCCTGACAGTTTTTATATGAACATATGTGTCCATATTTCATATCCCATTCATCACATGTCTGTGACTTATTTTTGTATGATTACAAATATCGATAAATACTTGATCAAATAAAGTTGGATCACACTCCATCTCCACTGAACGTCATTTCTCCGCTCTCTCTTCTCTTTGTTTGATTCCTTGATTACCTATTCAAAGTTCATTCTCCAACTTGACTTACCTACATCGGTTATTTACTAACCCGATCTAAGTCTATGAAGATATAAGAGAATAGTTAGGATATATATTTCGAGATTATAAAAGGTTACTTAAATGAATAATTAGTTTTACGTTTAATGAATTAGAAGTTTTTGATAGTAACTGATAAACATCATTAGGAGGAGAATAATGAGATATCATCTCACTATTAGGGTATAAGTTCAAACGACAAACTAAAATTTAAATGACTCATAATCATCATGAATCAATCAGTGTTAAGCAATCACTTAATACCTGGAATCTTTGGACAGTCCTTTTGTTGTAGTATGGGACACCTCGTGTATGTGTATTGCTGAGAATTCCCATACTAGAACGAAGTGGCCGTCCAGTGGTTCGAGAATTTCAACGGTGACCTAAAATCAATCAGTTCACGATCTCAACCAAGAACGATGCAAATCGACTAAACCATGCGTTGATAACCATTATGTAAACAAACTTCTGGATACAATTTTGTTTAAAGGTGTGCATTGTCCACTTCATATATTCAGGCGATACACTTAACAACAGCTATTGAATTTCTGGATATACTGGTGGATAAATATACTAACCTTGGTGTCTTCGGACTTAGTCTAACGTTATTTACATCTGCATTACTTATTGGTGTAGCTATCAAAACAAGATTAGTAGATTATTTAACAACTATTATAGTACTTTTTATAATCGTTATTATTGTAATCATTATAGCAGTTCTGTAATCACAAACTTCAAGTATTCAGTAAGTCAATAATCATAACTAATTCATTTGCAAATTAACTCACCTTGATTTTGCGGTATTCTCTGTGAGATACTCAGGTGTAGTTTATCGTTACTTTGTTTGTTTTCACAATGAATAAGTACTAGTGACATTTTCTTCATTATCCAAACACAACATACGAATGTCAAATATCATGAAACCCGAGTCCAGAGTTGGATCTTGTTCGTTGTGGTGATCTACTCCTGTTTCTATGATCCATTCGCATTTTGGCAACAGCCTCAGTGAGACTTTTCACACTCGCTATGAGTCCCTCTATGACTGAGTCTTTGGCTGGTTCTTTTTGTGTGTGGTTTGTCGTGTTTGATCCAGTTGGGGGACCCCTTTCCATTATCCTATCTGCTATACGCGCTAAATGAGATAAAGAGGTTTCAGGATCTTGTGCATCCAAACAACGTTGGACGTAGCATGGGAGAGCTTGTATCCATCCTTGCTTTAGGACTGCTTCACCCACTGTGTTATCACCCACTAAGACTTGAAGGTGACGTAAAAACTGTGACGGTGACCTATCGCCTAATATTTCTCCTTGGAAAAGCCTTTGGATTCTTTGGCTGTCTGATAATGATAAACGGTTTATGATCTCTTGTCTTAAAATGGTGTAGGGTTGTGGTGATGGTGGGCTTAAAATCAAGTCACGGACTTCTTTGGTGACTGAAGGAGAAAGTATAGAACACAAGTCTCTATAGCGAATTCCTTCGGATTTGATATTATGTCTCGTGAAATAATGCTCTAGTTGAGCAAACCACAACTCAGGATCACTACGATCAAATTCTGGAAGTCGGGATTTCATAGTCATAACAGTGTCTATCTCCACTGGTGACAAATCATCTAGGTTTTGAGTTTGTATTGAGTCTGACATGAAGTATATGAACAATATAGCAATAAACTTAGCACGAAGAATGGTTACTACAGCACGAATACCTTAAGATTATATTTTAAAAAAACTATGTATATATATATATATATACCAGAATGTTTACTGATGATCAGAAGGTCTACTTTTACGACAAAGTAAAGCCAAAAAAAAATTATCAATCAACAATGAAATCAAATATATGCTTCACAGGGCTCACCATTTTAGTGCCTTTTGGTAACCCTCGCGTTATTAATAGAAGAAACCAGACTCGTAGGGAAATAGGTCTTTATTTTGATCTTCGCGCAGTAATAATGGAGCGTGGGATTTCTTACTCAGACAAACAAAACCTCTCAACAAGCAATATAAGATCGTTAGAAATATAACGCCTAAACAAAATAAAGAAGTGAATAAATATCTAAACTATGCTGTTTTGATATATGCTTAGTTGCTTGAGATTAACTCTTAACAACCAACTTAAGCTGTTACAGACTCACTCGATTTCTCCGTTGCGAGAATAAATAGCTTATAAATCTACTGGTTCTCTTGACGTTGCCGTGAGGCCTTGTCAATTCATAATAATAATAAATCATTTACAACTTTTACAGACCACTTGACTGAAGATTGTGTACAGACATGTAAACGCAAATTATAACAACGAATTTTTTCAAAGGTACATTTGAAAACAAGGAATTCACATCAAATGAACACATTGTCTTTTTCTTGATATTAATATCACCTAAATTATCAGCCAATTCAAAACAATCGTTTACAGAATACTGAAAAAGTTGTATTCGAAAAGGGTCCAATAACTTAGTTAACAATTTGACCCGGTTATGTGTAGGTGATCTGCAAAATGATAGAACTGGACGTAAAGAAATGTTTGGTTTATGAATTTTAGGTAGTCCATATAAATGAGGGGTACTCAGGACCCATAGGTTTTAGAAAACTAAATTCGTCTTTATTAATAATATTCATGTGTAGCAAATTTTCCAGGTTTGTATTAACTCTTCCTTCTAGTTTGCCAATAACTACAAATTCAACATCAAGCATAAATTTACTTTCATCGTTGAGGATGGATAACAACTTAATTTTATGTTAACCCAAATGGCCGCAGAAACAAATACAATAAAGTGACCCAATAAGAGCAGAGGATAAACATCCATCATCCTCTATTGCTAAACATCTAATTGAAACAGGCCACAAGATTGATCTAAACTCGGCTTTTTTGGTATTATATAAAAGTGTAAAAGGGCGTATACTAAGGTTAATTGAAGTCGTAGCCATACGAACATTTAAACTCCCTTTGTGCATTCAAAAACAGTTTGTTCTTACCTTAAACCTACCCTGGTAATACTGACTTATTATCCACAGTGATTAGGTTTTGAATTGTGTTCAGATTATTATTTTTACTTTTATTACTATTATTATCCTTATCTCCTGTTACC